ATCCCTGACACCATTTTACAGCATAAAAAAAAAAAATTTCTTTTGATGAAATATTTTAGAAAGTCTTTTAGGATGACGTAATATTTTCTTTCTTTAAATAAAATTTTACTTACCGAATTCTCTACTTTTTATGGAATTGTCTATTTTATTGCCACTTCAGGATTTTTAGCTAGAATGTATGTACAGTATGATGATATACGTGAAAGAAATGTTATTGTTAGTTGAATTTAAAAAGAAAAATTCAATTTGGTGGTCATTTTTTTAAAAATTCATATTTGTCTTCGTTAAGATGAATATGGCGTGATATATTAGATATCCAGCTATTCATTCCTGAGAACGAGCGAATTTTGCAGTAGGTCGTCAAGGGTTTGTGGAAATAAAATTGAAAAATTCCCTTCACAGGGGACGATTTGCATAAAAAGGAAACAATGTCCTTCTTCCGACTATTTACTTTAAAACTGGTTAATTAATTTTGAAAAATAAATGAGTTACAATTCACAACTATTGAAGAACTAATGGTTGATCTCCATACGAGTGAAAAATTCTCGAGAGGGACGTTAAACAACAAACAAGATGCCCAAGGGCCTTAACGGTCACCTGAGTATAACACAACAATTTAGAAGTTAAATACACTGATAGATGAAACATTGTTGCCCTAAAGCAAGAGAAGAAGGAAGATCAGGATCAATAAAATAATTAGTCTAGTATTCAGTATCAACTCATAAATTAAGTTCTAATCTGTCCCCCACTTAACACTATCACCATGCAGACTATTAATAAACTATTAGTGCTTCTGTACTATTTTTAAACCCATATTAAGACCTCTAGCATTGACCTCTCTTATGGTCTTTGAAGAACTTTTAATAAGATAAGTTATTTTTGTCTCATTTTTATTTATCTTTTACTTACAGGTCTACCTGATTATTAAAACTAAGAAAGTACTTTTTTAATTATACGATAAACATTCTTGCATAATTATCTTATTCTATTAACCTTTCAAATACATTATTTACAGTGATTAATTATCAAAGGTGAATGGAAAAGGGGAATAACTTCTCTCAGTAGAATACAAGTTAATAGAGCCCTGGCCAGGACCAGAATGCTTAGACGAATAGTCCAGATGTTTAAAACTCTGGTAGAAATATGCTTACTCATATCATTTAAACTTTAACTCAGTTTGCTTCCGATATGCCCAGAAGCAGAGAAGAATATCACAGGTACAATGCATTTTCACTACAGATTCAACAAAGCCTTACCCTAACACCAGAACCCAAGACCAAGGGTAAAAAAATTTACAAATTTGGAAGAGTTACCCTCATCATCATAACTATGGACTTCAAAGAATTAACACTTTTGCACTATATTATCAAAAGCCCCCCCCCCCCTTTCGTTATGCCAGAACCCCTGACCCTAGGACCAAAAGATTTAAAAATTCTGTTCAAAGCTCCCATTTTCATCATAGCTAAGCAATTTATTTATCAGCTCAACACTAAGGAGCAGACAGGATTAGTTAATGATTAATTAATAGAATTAATGCTTTTTCACTATATAATCAATAGAGCCCCCCCCCCCCCGTCCTCAAGAACCCCAAAAACTGAGGCCATATATTTAAAAATTTTGAAAGAGGCATCCTTGTCTATCATAATCATGCACTTAGTTTGTTTAAATAATCTCCAGTAGCAGAGAAGAAGATTTTCAAAGAATCAATGCATTTTCACTATATAATCAATAGAGCCCCGCCTTAACACCAGAACCCCGGACCCTGGGGCCATGAAATTCACAATTTTTGAAAAGACATCCTTATGCATCATAACCATGCACTTAGTTTGTTTAAATAGTCTCCAGTAGCAGAGAAGAAGATTTTCAAAGAATCAATGCATTTTCACTATATAATCAATAGAGCCCCGCCCTAACACCAGAACCCCTGACCCAGGGGCCATGGCTTTCACAATTCTGGAAGAGGCCTACCTCCTCATCATAACTATGTACTTAGTTTATCACCTTACTGCCCAGGAGCAGAGGAGAAGATTTTCAAAGAATTAATGCATTTTCACTATATAGTTGATAGAGCCCCGCCCTAAACCAGAACCCCTGACCCTGGGACCATGAAATTCACAATTTTGGAAAAGGTACTCTTGCTCATCATAACTATGCACTTAGTTAATTTATTAAATATCCAGAAGCAGAGAAGAAGATTTTCAAAGAATCAATGCATTTTCACTATATAATCAATAGAGCCCCGCCTTAACACCAGAACCCCGGACCCTGGGGCCATGAAATTCACAATTTTTGAAAAGACATCCTTATGCATCATAACCATGCACTTAGTTTGTTTAAATAGTCTCCAGTAGCAGAGAAGAAGATTTTCAAAGAATCAATGCATTTTCACTATATAATCAATAGAGCCCCGCCCTAACACCAGAACCCCTGACCCAGGGGCCATGGCTTTCACAATTCTGGAAGAGGCCTACCTCCTCATCATAACTATGTACTTAGTTTATCACCTTACTGCCCAGGAGCAGAGGAGAAGATTTTCAAAGAATTAATGCATTTTCACTATATAGTTGATAGAGCCTCGCCCTAAACCAGAACCCCTGACCCTGGGACCATGAAATTCACAATTTTGGAAAAGGTACTCTTGCTCATCATAACTATGCACTTAGTTAATTTATTAAATATCCAGAAGCAGAGAAGAAGATTTTCAAAAAATTAATGCATTTTCACTATGTAATCAATAGAGCCCCGCCCTAACACCAGATCCCCTGCCCCTGGGGCCATGAAATTCACAATTTTAGAAAAGGCACTTTTGCTCATCATAACTATGTACTTAGTTACTTTATTTAATACCCAGGAGCAAAGAAGAAGATTTTCAAAGAATTAATGCTTTTTCACTATATAATCAATAGAGCCCCGCCCTAACACCAGAACCCCTGACCCTGGGGCCATGAATTTCACAATTTTGGAAGAGGCACTTTTGCTCATCATAACTATGTACTTAGTAACTTTATTTAATACCCAGGAGCAGAGAAGATTTTCAAAGAATTAATGCATTTTCACTATATAATCAATAGAGCCCCGCCCTAACACCAGAACCCCGGACCCTGGGGCCATGAATTTCACAATTTTGGAAGAGGCACTCTTGCTCATCATAACTGTGTACTAAGTAACTTTATTTAATACCCAGGAGCAGAGAAGATTTTCAAAGAAATAATGCACTTTCACTATATGATCTATATAGCTCCACCCTGGGGCCAGAACCCCTGACCCTGGGGCCACGAATTTCACAATTTTGGTAGAGGGCTCAATGCTTATTACAATGATGCCAACAGTTTGACTGCTTGATGTTCAGGAGTAAAGAAGAAGATTTTTAAAGATTGCATTATTTTTGGTGGTTTTAGTACCACCCCTCAGGCCCTGGGGGGGGGGGGGGGGGCAGGGACCATGAAATTCACAATTTTTGTTCCCCTTCACCCATAGTTGCTATATACCAAATTTGGTTGAAATTGGTTGAGCGGTTCTAGAAAAGAAGTTACAAATGTTCAAAAGTTAACGCACGACGGACGACGACGGACGAAAACAGATAGCAATAGGTCACCTGAGTGACTCAGGTGACCTAACAAACATGGTTGGATATGAGATCTAAGTTAGAATATCTTGATTGAGGCCAAAGCATTTGAGAATCGTGTACAAAACGTATGAGAGCCATGTACAAATCTTTACTTGCAGCGTTTCGTGCAAAACCTTTAGTGTTTTCTGTAAAACGGTACAGCGTTTCGTATCAAGCGTGTACTGTTCGTGCAGCATGCAACTGGGGTAGTACGGCCTGTACTTTATCATATCAACGGGTATCATCTATATTCATCTTTGGAAAAAGCTATTGTTGCGAAATAGATCCTGTTTATATTAAAGGGGCAAGTACATGTAACTAGGTCAGTAGATAAAAAGGGCAAAACATTATTTACCGTCTGTTTTACGTAAATTGGATCATAATTAAGGTGGTATTTTTCTTTCTTTTTTGCTTCTTAGATATAAATAGTGAAACTCATGACTTATTTCATTTGACAAAGTTGTGCTAGAACAATTGCAAAAACTAAAACTGGTTCACGTCAAAGTTAACAATTAATATTGTATCACTTACAAATATCTAGCGGCATATACACGTTTATCTGTAGCATCAAGTCCTGCTGGCTTCATGAAATTTGATCACGTAGCTAATCTATACCTTTTTTTCCTATCACGTTTTAGAGAATGACATACCATATAGCGGGTTATTTTAGCGTAATGCTTATTTTTGGCGTTTTGGTAGTAGTCCGCTAAAGTGTTAATCGCTAAATATTCAGTGTTCTTCTTAGTGTTATTTTGCAAAGAGTTGGAACCCTGTGGTTGGGGAAAAAAATTACGCCAAAATTACTGGCATACCTTTAGCCAAGAAAACGCCAAATTTTACACCCGCCAAGAAAAACCCGCTTAACGGTATATTCACATTTAACTTTAGGGAAACGGCGATCTGTAAAACGTTTTGGTCATCCCAAGACATCGGGCAATGTGTAATGAGAAAAGCTCACTTGAGCATATAGCTCAGGGCTGAGGATCACGTAACAGTCTAAGGCTTAAGTCATTTTTTCAAGAATCTGTGGTGTTTATGAGACGTCAATTCAAACCTTGAATTTGCAGAACAATGTAACAACCTTTGGTGTTGCAATATTGAATAATATTTTTATTTGGTCTGCTTGACTTCTACATGTACATTATTCCAGCAAACAATATAGATTTTGAGTAATGCAAAAGATGGTCCAATTTTGAGATGAGCTAAAAAAAATGTACAACTATTACAAACTGTTCTGGCATTGCCATATATGCATGATATTGTTGGTTATCAAAACTCAAACATTGAATGTAAATGGGATATACATTAGTATCTTGACCGTCGAAACTAAAGTTGTTTTTTAGAAAAGTCGAATTACGGAAAATATTATTTCAATTAATTTATTTCTGTAAAGAAAATTTAGCATTAGGGAGACCTGCCTGGCAACAAAACGTTATTCCCAATCAGTCTACAACTTGGGGAGCAGCGAAGGCGGTAGATGGGAAATATTCTGACCGTTCATCAGCAGGAAACCAGTGTACAATTTCAGCATCCGGATATAATACAGCAACATGGAGAGTGGATCTACAGAGAGTGGTGAGCATCAGTCACATCAACATCTACTACAGGACGGATAATTTTCCCAGTAGGTATAAACGGTAAATGTAACACAGAACAGATATTTTTCCTTTTGCATATATATTTTGAAAACGTATTTATGAAATGTAACAGAGATATATTCTAATGGGTTTTTTTGGAAAATGTTTACGTTGCGCTTGGCTGAGGAACAGTTGATACCTATTTTTTTATATACATACTTAGGTCAGTCGCGACCGGGGTTTGAAAACTCACGATTTTCCGATCACCGAGGATTAGAATAGTGTATTGCTACATCAATAAGGAAGGATGACGATAGATATAATATCAACTTGTATGCCTATTTTCTGCCTCTGTTTAGAAAGTGATCGTACACAGATGTCCCTGTGTATAAAAACAAGGGAGAAATAAACACCACTTGCAGATGATGAAAGTTATTGATTGATGTTGTTTTAAGTCCCTTTCGAGAATTAGTTTTACCATATACAAGTGAAGGCCTTCAAATTTAGATCGTTACTCGGCATTCAGGGCCATTGAGGGAATTTATTTTTCCAACGTCTGTCTAGACACGGGGGCTCGGTTTTTAAGGTCTCATCAGAGGGACCCGCAACTTTCACTTTAATTGCCGAGTGCCTGGCAGAGGAACAGTTCGTACCTATTTTTATCGACTTAGGTCAGTCGCGGCCGGGGTTACAATTACACCGTTACAATTAGAACTAGGTTCATAAATATTTTAACTCCACGTTGTGGACCAAAATCTAGACTTAAAGGAGTTAAGATTTATTCAAAGTTAAATCAACGCAACATTGGGATGCTTTATTATCAATACGATCATCATGGTTCAGTTGATTTTGAGACGATTTTTTTTTCTATACACATCCATTATGTAAAATTTGTATCTCTGATTTTGACTGAACTCTAACCACATGGTTCACAGTAAAATAATCCTTTCAACACATTTAAGACATGCTTCTCTTATTAATAATATTTAAAGTGATATTTCAACTCTTTTTAAAGTTTTTGTTCTATGAACTTCCTTGTTATACTCTGATCCCTTATTAGGTCACCTGACTCACTCAGGCTACCTATTGCTATCATTTTTGTCTGTCGTCAATCAGTCGTAAACTTTTGAACATTTTTAGCTTCTTCTCTGGAATCACTGAATCAATTTCAACCAATTTTGGCATACAGCATCTACGGGTGAAGGGGAGTAAAAATTGTGAAATTTATGGCCCCTGCCCCCCTGGGGTTTGAGGGGTTGGGCTAAAACCATCAAACTTAATGCAATCTTTAAAAATCTTCTTCACTCATGGGCATCAAGCAGTCAAACTGTTGGCATGATTGTAATAAGAACTGAGCCCTCTACTAAAATTGTGTTTTTCATGGCCCCTGGATCAGGGGTTCTGGCGCTAATCGGGGTTCTAATGATTATATAGTGAAAATGCATATATTCTCATCTGATTCTAGGTATTTAGCCGATGAACTAAGTACATATATATGATATGAAAGAATGCCTCTTCCAAAATTGTGAATTTCATTGCCCGTGGATCAGGGGTTCTGGTGTTAGGACAGAGCTCTAATGATTATATGGTGAAAATGCATTATTTCTTTGAAAATCTTCTCCTCTGCTCCTGGGTATTAAGCTGATGAAGTAAGTATATAGTTATGAGGAGGAGGAGTGCCTCTTCCAAAATTGTGAATTTCATGGCCCCAGGGTTCAGGTGTTCTTAGTGCAGGGCTCTTATAATTATAAAGTGAAAATGCATTAATTCTTTGAGAATCTTCTCCTCTACTCCTGGGTAATAATCCAATGAATTAAGTACATAGTTATGATGAGGAAGAGTGCCTTTTCCAAAATTGCGAATTTCATGGCCCCTGGGTCAGGAGTTCCTTGGGGGTGGGGGCTTATTTATCATATACTGAAAATAAATTAATGCTTTGAAAATCTCCTCTGCTCCTGGGTATTAAGCCGATGAACTAAGTACATAGTTATAAGGAGGAAGAGTGCCTCTTCCAAAATTGTGAATTTCATGACCCTTGGGTCAGGGGTTCCATTCGGGAGGGGGGGCTTAGTCTTAGTATATACTGAAAATAAATAATTAGAATAATGAGAAAATAAATAAGAATGTTGCCAGCGTCAATTCCTTTGATGGAAAATTTAAGTGTAATCAAACTTAGTACATGTATAAAAGCAATGACCTAACAAATGGTATGAAACGTTAGACAAAATATGTCTCAACGATAGATTGTATTTACAAAATGTTATTATTAGGACCGTAGATGTTGCTAAAAGCCGACTCTTTACTGGGTTGTTCAAATCCTTGTAAAAATGCGTAAAATAAATTGGGTTAAGATTTTAAAATATTGTCAGAGATTCCGATTTACCGTTGAATATTGTAAAATCTACAAGTCATTTTGAAATACTGCCATGGAAATTAATTAAACCAGCTAAAACATATCCCTTACCGAATTCATTAAGTCAGAAACGTAATCCCATTGTTTTCAAACAGAAATAAGCTGAAATATTCTTCAATTAAGATCTATACAGATGGTTCAAAAGGCGATAATAACGTTGCTGCCGCTCCAGTGGCTAGAAATAATGTGTTCTATACACGACTTCCGAATGAAGCAACAATTTTAATTTCACAGCCGAACTTGCATTTGAATTTACTAGTTTTCAATCTTCAAACGACAAATACTTTACATTGTTTCAGACTCCCTCTCCTGCTTACAATCTATACACATTATGAACATTGATCACCCATACATTCTTGATATAAGCGTCTGCGAGGCGCATTGGTTAGAGCGTTTGCTCTAGAGTCGCAGAATAAGGAGTTGATCCTTTTTTTTCTCTGGTTCGAATCCCACTGCGGGTCGTGGAGACCGGTCCTTCGGATGAGACCGTATAAACTGAGGTCCCGTGTCACAGTAGGTGCTAGCACGAAAAAGATTCCTCACTGCTCATTGGCCCTGAGTGCCGAGTATACGTCCAAAATTTGCACCTCTTCACAGGCAAGTGATGGGGTTTCAATATGAGTGAAAATTTTTCGAAAAGGACGTTAAACAAAGAAGCAAACAGACATTCTGGATATATTTACAAAGAACTATCGTTTTAATAAACAAGGTAAAATTGTGGAATTTTGCTGGAATCCAAGTCATATTGGTATCCTTGGAAATACTGCGGCTGATAGTGCTGTGAAAAATGCACTTCAGTATTAAAGTGTACACTTTAAAAATACCTTACACTTATCTGAAATATTTAATGAAAATTTATGTTAATTCTCTTTGGCAAATATATTGGAAATTTTGTGATAATCATAAACAAAGCTAAACAGTCATCTGATTTCGGCCTGAAACGTCAAGACGAAGTCGTTATATCAAGAATACATATCGGACATTCAAGGTTTACTCATTCATATAGGTCTCCTGAACAGGGTACATCAACCTGAATGTATATCTTGTGACAGTGCAATAACCATAAACCATATTCTAACAGAATGTAGATTTTTCGCCTATACAAAATAAGTTTTTTAATAATGCAAACAATGCATGATCTTTTTACAAACATTAATCCTTGTACAATTTTAAAACACTGTGAAATCACGTATTTCAAGGGGTTTTTATTTTCGTTGTGTTCGAGGTTTAAAGAGACCCACGAATTTATGTCCATCACGAAATACCGGATGGGACGTTAAGTTGCATCCTGTCTCAAGGATAACAACCTCCTTGGCAAGCAAAAAATCTTTTCTCTGGTTTTCAAAAAAGAATAGCTCAATGGGGGCCGCCAGAGAAACCCAAAAACTATCAAAACCGGCCACAGAACGTCGAAATATGGCTGAAAAATTCCCGACTCGACAATTTTTAATAATAATAAATCATAATAATATTATGATTATTATTATTAATCTTAATAATAATTAATCAATCAACCAAATCCTTAAAACATAAACGTATTTGTCAGTATCTTGCCTCAGTTTAAATATTGATTGTATTTTGAACAAGCCCCTTGAAGTAAAAGATCAGTTATGGCATTAACGCCATATCCAAAGTGATGTAAGAATACTACTTAAATACGATAAGTTGATGATGGAAAAGATCAAGTTATATCCATTGTCATACAGTTATTAGTTGACCATTATCCTTTATAGACAATAAAACATAAAAATATGAAGCGGACATGGAAGAATCTATTGCGTCTTTTATTTTGAGTTCACTGGGTAGGTGTTGAATTCATTCTCGTACTTTATGATTACTTTTACTCAACATATCCTGTTACGTCACTTTTCATACAAATCACATTTGAAGATTGTGGTATTTTCAACTATTCTTATAAGATAACTCCTTCACCTGGAATTATGAATTTGAGAATGTATCCTTTTTAGGTCCAAGTGGGTACGTTAGTCGATTCGCTGGGTTTTTTCTCTATGTTTCAAAGACTACATCAAGAGAAGACGGAAGACTTTGTTTCCACGAATTACAGAATGTGAGTGGTACACCTACAGAAGACCAGAGGATCAACTGCTCAGTGTACGGCAGATACGTTATATACTACAACGAGAGGAGACCGGATGTCACATATCCTAGTTACTACTCTGAAGACGCATTTAACGAACTGTGTGAAGTGGAAGTCTATGGTGAGCTCCAACACATTACTGTTCGTATAACCTGTATTTGATAACTTTCCGTTTTGTACATTTTACCTTAATAATGCGATTTTCTGTGTGTCTATTATTGACGAAGGGAGATGAAACACTAAATTGTTCCACTAATCAGGAGTATAGAATTTCATTTCTTGCAAAGGCTGCCCTGTTCCTGGGTATTACGGAGAAAACTGTAGCCAATTATGTTCAGAAAACTGTCAAGGACAACAATGTGACGCCGTCACCGGTAACTGTGTAAATGGTTGTACTCCAACATATGAAGGCCCTCACTGTAGTTATGGTAGGCTGTTCCTGTATTTCTTTTCCCTAACAATTAAATACTATATCCTTCTCTTTTTAAGCTGTCGTCTAATCAGACACTATGATATTTATGTTTAATTTCAATTTATATTATATATTGATTATTCGTCACAAGTTAATCTAGCTTTAAAGAGACCTTCCTGGCAGCAGTACAATTCGCCAATTCAACCTTCAGCTTGGGGAGCAGCAAAAGCGGTAGATGGCGAATATTCTGATCGTTCAGCTGGGGGTAACCAATGTTCAATATCCGATGGAAGACAGACAGCAACATGGTGGGTGGATCTAGGGAGTATAGTCAGCATCAGTCACATCCACATATACTACAGGACAGGAAATGCTCCAAGTAAGTATTCCGTTCGTCTCTGTAACCTGCATTCATTTATGTTTTGTGTGATGATGGTGAACGGTTTGCAAATTAAGTGGGCGGAGCATGTACATTTTAGAATATGATTGGTAACTCAGTAAAATCACTTATTTATTCATTCATTCATTTTTTTTTATTAATCTCTTCATTTTATGTTAATGAAAGGACAATGTCGCAAGCATTTAGTAAAAAGTTGCTTTTAAATAAATTATATGTGGTTTTAGTAAGAAGTTGTTAGTTCGAGAATTTTGTCACGAGCTATTGGTGAACGGCTTCAAAATTAGACTTAAACTCGGTACTCAGGGTCGTTAAGAAGTGAGGGATCCTTATATTGCTAACGCCTGCTTTGACTCGAGGCCTCTGGTTTTAAGGTGTCATCCGAAAGACCCGCAACTTTCACTTCAAAGTACAGAGCTCTTGGCGAAGTTTAATATTATAAATCCCCCATCGCTCTTTTATTTCGTCTACCGTTCTTTTTAAGTTCTTGTCGTTGCTGCTTCCTATAAAAAAAATAACATCTATTTCTTGACAGATTATTTATTTCTAAAATTTGTCTTTGCAGTATAATAAATACATTGTGGATGGAATTGTAATTGCCTTAACCGATTTCTTGATTAAAACTTAAAAAAAAAAATAATGCGTTTTTACACATTGATGAAATATTGAAAAAAAAATAATGCGTTTTTAGCACAAAAAATAAAGTAATATTTTATACTAATTATGTTACTTTTACTTTTGAATGTTTTTTTTTTTCTAGTGAGTCAAACACCAAAAGGATCAATTTAAAAATTACATTATAATTGCTCACAAATAAAAAGATCACAAGCACAAACCGTTGATGCATAACGACTAAGGAATCGCCTCGCACTCTGTCGAGTTGTTTTCATGTCTCAAATAGTTTCGATTAGTTTCTTTATATTAACATATTTAAGTCCAGATGCACGATACCTGACAAGAATGTTTCGAATCGTTAGGGATAATCTCCGTCCTCCTTTAACGGACGCTATTGAGAGGAAAAAAAGAAAAATGACCGATTTGTTCATTGGACGGTTTGGAACGCTTTTGGGGTGTGGCTTGCATAATAATTTCAAAAACGATTGATGAACGGTACGTTTCGTTTTGTGAACGGTCAGTTTCGCTTCTGGCAAAGTTCGTTTCGTTTTGTGAACGGTAGGGTTCGTTTTGTGAACATAACGATTCGTTTGTGCGCTGTTCGTTCTGTTTTGTGAACTGTATGGTGTGTTTCTTGCACGGCATTGTTATTTCAACTGGTACAAAATCTGGACCCAGGGCCATAATCTGAGGCTAGAATATAGTGAATTCTTCAAAAAGTTTAAACTTTTGATATTATTTTTTCGAGGAGACATCATTTTTCAATCATGTGCAATTAAAAAATAATTGAGGTAAATATATTTAAAATCTACAGGATGCTTTCAAATATCTGTTCTCATTTTGTGGTCAAAGGGTCAGCGGACCTTTTTAATTGAAACATTTGTGAAGTAGCTTGGTCGAAGAATTTTAAAGCATTTTTACGGAATGTGTGTCAAAAACATTTATATCTTATAATTCTTAAACAACGTATTTCTTCGCTCATTTTCATTTAGTTATTTTGACAGGAGACGTCATCTCTTTAAAAGGTAAATAGTTCAGTAAAACCACGTGTTAATTTACATGTACAGTTCAATTTGAATTACAGATAAAAGAATAAAATCTAGAGGCCTGCTTACACAAACCTCGAGGAGATTGCTAGAGACCTTTTGGCAATTTTAAACTCTCATAGCTCTCTGAAACCCTTACTTTTTCTATGTTAGGGAGAGAATCACAATTCACCTGTTATGTGATAAGCAATTGATGGTATTGCCGTAGCAGTCGCTCTCTGCTCAGGTCTTGAATCAGTGTTCAGGACTACTCATAGCCCTCTCAATTATCTATTAAGTAGACTTTGATCACACATAGATATAAAATACGATGCGTTTTTCTGTACGCTTAGCTGGTTTCTCTGCGATATTCCAAATTGTTCTCAGGCATGTATTCCATATGGTGTTCAAAACATTATGGGTTTATTTTATAAGACTCTCAAAGGTCTTTGGGAGATCGAAGATAACGTTGGACGAACTTTCAGAGATTTTTGGGCGAAAGGAAGTTGTGGTATTTCTGACAATATGAGGAAGAAGCAAGAGCGAACAAGTATGATAAACGGACGGACGGGGTACATTAAATCTATAAAAACAATATTAATATTGATAGATAATTTAATTTTTAGGCCCTGGTTCATTCTACAACAGATTTGCTGGATTTTTCGTTTATGTTTCGAATGATGCTTCTAAGGACAACGGTAGTCTATGTTTCCATGAATTACAAACTGTAGACGGTACACCCATTGAAAACCAGACCATAAGTTGTCCATTACACGGAAGATACGTTATATACTACAACGAGCGGAGACCAGACATGACATATCCCAGCTACTACTCACAATATGCATATAATGAATTGTGTGAATTTGAAGTTTATGGTGAGTTTAACGATATTCCCCTTCTGTACATAATATAGTTGTATACTTACTAGACTTTGACCCGTGCGGGCACGGGTTGACATTGTTATGAATGCATCCATGTGCATATTGGACATTTACAAAATAGATACATCGACACATTCATATTGTAAGGTACTTTTGAAATAAACAATGAATGTGAATATAATTCGGGGGGGGGGGGGCTGGGGTTGCAAAATTGTTGCGTATCGGCGTAGCGCCAGAATGGGTCTTTCAAGGGGAGATAATTAAGAAATATTGAAATTTGTTGGTAAATCTTTAAAAATCTTATCAAGGACCATTTGGCCAGGAAAGTTGAAACTTATGTGGAAGCATCCTCAGGTAGTGTAGATTCTAAACTGTTAAAATCATGACCCCAGGGGTAGGGAGGGGCCTCAATAGGGGGTTGAAATTTTACATAGTAATATATAGGGAAAATCTTTAAAAATCTTCTCAAGAACCTTTTAGCAAGGAATGTTGAAACTTATGTGGAAGCATTTTCAATTTTGTTTAAATCTTATCATGACCTTTCATGACCCCTGGGGGTAGGGTGGGGCCACAATTGGGGAGGGGTATCTATGGGAGTATTTATAGGAATTTTTTTTTATGAATTTTCTTTTCCAAAACTTAACTATTTGACCAGAGAGATTTTGTGAAAAGTAAATTCATATAATGTACATTCAAATTTGATGATGACGATCACAGGGGGTCATGATAGGGTACAACCACAATGGGAGAGGGGTGAACAAAATATTGACTGTTATGAAAATCTTTGAAATTTTTACATGTAAAAAATTTAATATAAAAAACTAAATTTGTACAGATATTTTTGATTTGTTAAAGCTGTTTGGGTTAGAGTAATTGACCATAGTTGCTCAGGTGAGCGATGTTGCCCATGGGCCTCTTGTTTATACTAAGTATAAAAATATATGGGAAACATAAATTATCATTATCTTAGAAATAGCCAAACAAGGGTAACTATCCTAAGTAGGAACTTGAAAGTCAGGGGTGTGCAATTACAAAACTTAGTTACTAGCCCGTCGGGCTAGTGGCAGTAACAAAGTTACTAGCCAGAGGTTGCCAGTCACTGGCCCATTAACTACCGAAAATAATACATGTATAGGTATACCAAAAGGTACAAAAACATTTTAGTTGAAATAAATAAAACAAGTAATGATTTGCACTTTGTTATTGTCAGGTGCTTCTCCCTATTTTCATTGACTATAATTGTCACTGAAACGACTGGCGTTAGCCACACAATACAGTCATATAGGCTAAAACGAATTAAAGATTATGATTTTACGACAAAGTTAATTCATATATCAATTCAGTCCACGTTAATATATCTAAACTTTCCTTTTAGATTTACTAGCCCGACGGGCTAACGCAGTATAGATTTATGATAGCCCGACCTCTAAAATTGGTAGCCCCGGGCGTCGGGCGATGGTAATTGCACACCCCTGAAAGTACTTCTTGTTGTTATAATGAAGCCTTTTCTTGGGGGTGGGGGGATACACCCTTTTTTGGATCATACAATATCATTTCCAGTTTTTAATTGAAATCATACAATGTAATCAGAAACATTTTAAAATAAATGTTTCTGATGTAAAATATTTAGTAAAGTCGGAGTTTACCGCAAACTTTAAAGTTTACTGAACCTTGACCGATTTTATTTTGGGACAGCCAATGAGAATTTGGGAGCGGATCTTGAACTGAATATGGGAATTTTTCTTACTTCATACGTAAATAATGCAACAAAAATAAAATACACACCTCATAAACATTCATATATCTGTTTAGTGATACCAAAAGCTAATCTACTGCAGTATTAAACGTTTTCAATCAAAAGTCATTACATCACATGAGAACTGTCATGGCTGCTGAAGAAGACAACTTGTTTTCACGCAGGTGTATTTTTTTCTTGTGGCGATTTAATAAAACGTTAGTTTGTTTGCTACGATTAAATATAATTCATTTCATCAATGAATAAATATTTTTTACGATCTTAATTTTGTCCCACCTCATAGTTTTGAGGTTTACTATGCATGGATTATATTTTACAAACGATCGATATTTTACCAGCATTGATAGAATGAACTGTACGGGCCGCAAGGGCTGACTTCAGACTACCTATCAAGTGTAGTTACCATGACAACCTTTACATATTTAGAAGAACAGACTGTCCCTTCTATATAACTTACTGAAGATCAATAACAATAATTTACATATTTCACCCACTTTTTTTTTGAAAGTTAAAGAAATTTTTGGAGGTGAATTTAAATATAAATAAAATGCTTTCTTTGATGGTACACGTGGGAGGTGCACGGCGCAAGCATTGCAAATTTTTGCCAGAGACATAAATGACATATAATAAATGTGTCTCAGAGATGGCGAATGATTACCCACGTGGAAACAATATCATATTTGCATTGATAAACTCAGAAATGATAATACAAATACGTGTTAATTTTCATTGGAAATTTGCTATATATTCTGTTCATATATATTTTTGATTTCTTATTAGAGAAATTATAAAATAACAAATATATATCTACTTAGTACTTATGTCTTCTCTGATTTGAACACCGTGATTTAGCGTGAATATAATGCGCACGCGCAAGATTGTAAAATCCCAAAAATCCAGATGATTTCCGGAATTTTCGTTGATTATTAATTAGCAAAGCTTAACTGAGAAAAAATTAAAACAAATTGGTAATCCTCAAGTACCAATGATGTTTAAAAAATATAAAACAAAAGACATGCAGTACTCTTCCAATTTATCGGCATTTAAGGACAAAAATTCGAGTCTATAATTTTAATATAGTAGTATAGATGCAACAATGTTTACATTTGTTCTATTAAAGCATTTCAAATTCTCATTCTTCTAAAATAAGGTTTGATTTAATGTAAAAACGGAAATTATGTGTACATTTATGTCAATATATACATCAATGTCAATGGTATATACTGTTGTTGTGAAATAGGAATTTATACTAACTGACATGTTAGGATGAACTGAGTTCAGCTTTTCTGATCACACGTCCCCAGCGTCCCCTGTCTGTTTATCTGTCTGTCTGCCCTTCTGTACACTTATATATTTCTACTTTCTCTGAAGAAAACCCGGTAGAATTTCAACAAGACTCGCTGCAAAGCATCCTTTCAATTTAAAATGAGAGAATATATTCTCTTTCAAGGGGATAATTTTAAAAAGGTAAAAATTTGGTAGCGTCCTTTGAAATTTTATTCAAGGAGCTCTGGACAAAACAAGACAAGTTTAATGATACGGGTTTTTTTTTATCATATGATAATTTAAAATCATTCAAGACATAATCCCAGCATATAGGATGTGGCCACTATAGAAAGTAAAATTAATACACTTGATTATAGGGATTTTAGAAAAATCTATAAACAACTGGGCTTTGATGTCATATCTTGAGGATGAGAAACAAGGCTCCTGCGGTAGGATGAGCCACAATAGTTGATCAAAGATGTACATTGGAATCAATGGGAAAACTCTTCAAGAATCATAACAAGTTATATTAATGTGCAGTCAATCCCAGATTGTGCCCAGTTTGGTTTAATCAATGCCCATTGGGCTATGGTGAAGCCATAATAGGGTTAAAGTTATTTTCAAATTGATAATTTGTAAAAATCTTTGAAGGACATGCTACCAAAAAAAAAGAAAAGAAAACAGATGCATGGATTGGTTTATATTCTTGATTTTTTTGTTGTTGTTATTTTTATTTTTTTCGGTTGTAAATGATGCATAGAATAAATCTCTGAAATATTACGAAATAAAATTCTTTCTTTTTATGTTCAAATATCTTCTTTTTTTCGTCTCCTTTAAATTTATACAATGATATTTCACTTTTTAGGACATTATTGAGAATTTGTCAATGAAAAATGAAACTTTAAGCAGCTAAATGTATTCAATTTACTTATTAAAAAATCATTTTTCAAAGAATATAACAATTATTTAATCATATATTCAGTGGTTATATTGAGTATGTTTGAAAAAGAAAACTTGTAACATTTATCCTTCCAAGTAATTTTCGGACTGACGGCAAGACCAAGATGGCACAGGTAAGCCTTTTATTTTGTTGACCTACTGATGTATGTAAAAAAATTAAATTTTCTTGTACTTTAACAGGGTGCCCTGGTTCTAAGTATTACGGAAAATATTGTGACCAATTATGTCCAGAAATGTGTCTTGATCAGAGATGTAATATTTCTTCAGGGAACTGTCTCGAGTGTATACCGGGATATAAAGGACCTCGCTGTAGTCAGAGTAAGTAAAACTTATGTTAGTAGCTATATAAGCATCTGTTTCACAGAGAGAAATGCAAATCGTGCTTTAGGTACATGTAGCTCAAGAGAGAGCACGTGATTTCATGTTATTCCTTTTACTTAAATTTGTTCCATCCAATGTATTCGTATATGTATCCGTTTACATATCGAATTATCACCATTTCTTGTGATAACAGTGTGCGCCACAATGTTTTTGTTTAGCAAAATGGCAAAATTTTACTAGCCCTAATAACTTTTTTCTAGCTCCCCGAAAGTGTGAAATCTAAAATGACAGTTTTCTTTCATTCCTTTAGATTAAATCAACAAAGCTCATAATTTGATTTGAAAACTTACAGAACAAGGTACAGTTTCAATGAATATCTTACCCATTATTTTTTTAAAAGATATGAAAGTGATAAAAGAAATTAAAACTCGTGCTTTCTGAATCGTTGAAATCTACGAACTAAGACCAAACAAATCGTTTCCTCCTATGACTTTCTAAACGCTTATTGTGACGTCATGAAGTGCGTTTTGTCGTATTTTCTTTTTTTTTTAAATTGCGGAGAACATCAATTTTCAGTGAAATTTTCTTTCAGATAATTTATATCACAAGCATCGCCCACAGATATTTTGAGAAGTGAATTTTCAAAGAATTGTACACACCATATCCGAGTATTGAGGTGGGCAAGGGCTATGGACACCATTTTCGATGATAATAATCCTGAAATGGGACATGTTGACGCTTTTTCTGCTCAAAACTTCGAAATATGCCAAATAAATGACATTATATTTCCAGAATTGTCCTCCTTCATACCATAGTCTTTCATGAATTATCACTCTAGTATACTCAACTCATTCTTAAGCCAATTCCAACAGTTTTTGAAAACATCTTTTTAAGGGAAAATATAGCTAAAATAGTACCTACTTCTTTCAATGAACCCTTTTTTGTCAGTTATTTGATCCTGTTATTAAACTATTTTGCTTTACATAATGATACAGTCTCATGCACTATATTACAAACATTTTTAGGAGGCAAGGCCCACTACCCACCAATCTTTCCATTGTTAGAAACTCAGGTGCGCTTTAATTGAAAGCATTTCTTGATGTCAGTGACGGTCTCTTTCTTTTCTTTTTCTTTGCATTCATTACATGTAGCCATTCAAACGGGGAAACCGGAATCGACAAAATAGATATAACCAAATCAGTATGGGCAAAAAGATAAAAATATCATTAAAAATGTTGGAAAAATCAATCAAAAAATCATTCTTTTTAGACAATTATTTTTACTGTTATTTATAATACTGAGATTGAGGTGGATTAATACAGGTGGAAATTCTACTAGTTCGGCTAGTGCCGGTCTACATTTACTAGCCCGATCGAATTTTTACTAGTGTTTGGGCATCAGTCTAGTGCTTTTGATTCACACTGTGATGGCATAACGGATAGATTTGAAATACCAAAAGAGAAAAGAAAGAAAAGAAAAATTTATACATAAAGTATAAAGAAAAAAATATGAAATCTATTTATACCACATTCTTTTAATTCATATACAAAAGTTATTGTGATAAATGTAGGCTTTTTTGTTTTATTGATTTTTTGTCGCATGTGGAAAATGATAGGATACTCAAAGTTAAAAAAAATATAAGTATTTATCAAAGCTCAAAGTATTTTTTTTAACTATAAAACATGGAAAAATGAAACAATTTTATAGCTTTGCTCAGAAATCATCTCATTCCGCATTTTTTTGCGTTGAATTTCATTATACTTTATAAATATAAACATATACATTTGCGGAGAAGATCTGATAGAAAATATCGTGAAAAAAATGTGTTTTAACACATAAAGCCTGCATAAACTTTTCTTAAAAATCTGTTTCAAAAGAGTTTTAGCACCCAATGTCCTTAAAAGAACTGCCTTCACTACAGAATGTCATACTTCATTCAAATAATGTATGCATACAATCAGTAATTTATCAAGTGTTTTATATGATTTAGAATGTGACGGTGGAATGTATGGAGCAGCCTGTAGTCAAACATGTGGTCATTGTCTTGGGAACAAACAGTGTCATCATGTTAACGGTACATGTCTAGAGGGATGTTCTGCAGGATACGAGAGACCTCTTTGTAGTAAAAGTGAGAATTTTGAATTTTTAAAACAAAGTATTTTAAAAGTTTCTTTTCATTTTCATATTATTTGCAAAAAATATAACTAGAATGCACTCATATTTCCTTGGGTTTATTTAGTACTTACTGAAATGGAAACCATGTCAATATTTCGTTAAACTTCTGAATTTGTTTAATGGTCATACAAACAGACAGGGTATTTATCAAGGCTCCAAGTATTTCTGTTACAAGGTTAAACTTGGTAATATTAAACGAAAATTATTTTTCATTTTAGCATTTTCTTGCAATTTAAGAAATTTGGAGAGAAAAGAAAGCAATGCCGGTTTGATAGGAAACTTTCATGATAAATATGTGTTTTGGCACTAATTTACCCTTTCAAGATAACTGCGGTACGACTCTTTTGCAGGGCAAATTAAAACCGGTTGGGAACTCTTTTGGTGACAGATGATTAAATGACGTATAATACACAATTGCTTTTCGGTCCCATTTCACAACACTATATTATTAGCTATATAAGCATCTGCTTCACAGAGAGAAATGCAAATCGTGCTTTAGGTACATGTAGCTCAAGAGAGAGCACGTGATTTCATGTTATTCCTTTTACTTAAATTTGTTCCATCCAATGCATTCGTATATGTATCCGTTTGCATATCGAATTATTACCATTTCTTGTGATACTAGCCCTAATAACTTTTTTTCTAGCTCCCCGAAAGTGTGAAATCTAAAATGACAGTTTTCTTTCATTCCTTTAGATTAAATCAACAAAGCTCATAATTTGATTTGAAAACTTACAGAACAAGGTACAGTTTCAATGCATATCTTACCCATTATTTTTTTTAAAAGATATGAAAGTGATAAAAGAAATTAAAACTCATGCTTTCTGAATCGGTGAAATCTACGAACTAAGACCAAACAAATCGTTTCCTCCTATGACTTTCTAAACGCTTATTGTGACGTCATGAAGTGCGTTTTGTCGTATTTTCCTTCTTTTTTTAAATTGAGGAGAACATCAATTTTCAGTGAAATTTTCTTTTAGATAATTTAGATAACAAGCATCGCCCACAAATATTTTGAGAAGTGATTTTTCAAAGAATTTTACACACCATATCCAAGAATTGAGGTGGGCGAGGGCTGTGGACACTATTTTCGATGATAATAATCCTGAAATGGAGCATGTTGACGCTTTTTCTGCTCAAAACTTCGAAATATGCCAAATAAATGACGTTATATTTCCAGAATTGTCCTCCTTCGTATCATAGTCTTTCATGAATTATCACTCTAGTATACTCAACTCATTCTTAAGCCAATTCCAACAGTTTTTGAAAACATTTTTTTAAGGGAAAATATAGCTAAAATAGTACCTACTTCTTTCAATGAACCCTTTTTTGTCGGTTATTTGATCCTGTTATTAAACTATTTTGCTTTACATAATGATACAGTCCCATGCACTATATTATAAGCATTTTTTTAGGAGGCAAGGCCCACTACCTACCAATCTTTCCATTGTTAGAAACTCAGGTGCGCTTTAATTGAAAGCATTTCTTGATGTCAGTGACGGTCTCTTTCTTTTCTTTGCATTCATTAGCCATTCAAACGGGGAAACCGGAATCGACAAAATAGATATAACCAAATCAGTATGGGCAAAAAGATAAGAATATCATTAAAAATGTTGGAAAAATCAATCAAAAAATCATTCTTTTTAGACAATTATTTTTACTGTTATTTATAATACTGAGATTGAGGTGGATTAATACAGGTGGAAATTCTACTAGTTCGGCTAGTGCCGATCTGCATTTACTAGCCCGATCGAATTTTTACTAGTGTTTGGGCATCGGTCTAGTGCTTTTGATTCACACTGTGATGGCATAACGGATAGATTTGATATACCAAAAGAGAAAAGAAAGAAAAGAAAAATTTATACATAAAGTATAAAGAAAAAAATATGAAATCTATTTATACCACATTCTTTTAATTCATATACAAAAGTTATTGTGATAGATGTAGGCTTTTTTGTTTTATTGATTTTTTGTCGCATGTGGAAAATGATAGGATACTCAAAGTTAAGAAAAAATATAAGTATTTATCAAAGCTCAAAGTATATTTTTTTAAATATAAAACATGGAAAAATGAAACAATTTTATAGCTTTGCTCAGAAATCATCTCATTCCGCATTTTTTTTTGCGTTGAATTTCATTATACTTTATAAATATAAACATATACATTTGCGGAGAAGATTTGATAGAAAATATCGTGAAAAAAATGTGTTTTAACACTTATAAAGCCTGCATAAACTTTTCTTAAAAATCTGTTTCAAAAGAGTTTTAGCACCCAATGTCCTTAAAAGAACTGCCTTCACTACAGAATGTCATACTTCATTCAAATAATGTATGCATACAATCAGTAATTTATCAAGTGTTTTATATGATTTAGAATGTGACGGTGGAATGTATGGAGCAGCCTGTAGTCAAACATGTGGTCATTGTCTTGGGAACAAACAGTGTCATCATGTTAACGGTACATGTCTAGAGGGATGTTCTGCAGGATACGAGAGACCTCTTTGTAGTAAAAGTGAGAATTTTGAATTTTTAAAACAAAGTATTTTAAAAGTATCTTTTCATTTTCATATTATTTGCAAAAAATATAACTAGAATGCACTCATATTTCCTTGGGTTTATTTAGTACTTACTGAAATGGAAACCATGTCCATATTTCGTTAAACTTCTGAATTTGTTTAATGGTCATACAAACAGACAGGGTATTTATCAAGGCTCCAAGTATTTCTGTTACAAGGTTAAACTTGGTAATATTAAACGAAAATTATTTTTCATTTTAGCATTTTCTTGCAATTTAAGAAATTTGGAGAGAAAAGAAAGCAATGCCGGTTTGATGGGAAACTTTCATGATAAATATGTGTTTTGGCACTAATTTACCCTTTCAAGATAACTGCGGTACGACTCTTTTGCAGGGCAAATTAATAACGGTTGGGAACTCTTTTGGTGACAGATGATTAAATGACGTATAATACACAATTGCTTTTCAGTCCCATTTCACAACACTATATTATTTTGCCCCGCAAATGTGCAGTACCGCAGTTACCGTTTAACAGTCTGTAATGTCTTTACAAACTGTTTGTACAAATTTCTCTAACTTGTCCTTTTTGAGTATCCTATGCCCTTAAGGTAGAACACAACAGATGGGCCTAATTTTTTCTCAAATTCAATGTTTTGAAAAGTTTATATTTTGTTCTTTACAACATCTCCCTCTATGTGTAATATGAAAGAAAATCAGCCACAGATCTTTTGCCCACAAAGTTTGAAATATAGCCTAGACTCCCGAAAAAAAAGGGGATGCAATCGGACATTCGACATACGAATATTGATTGTTTAAAACTACCATAAGATGTATTACAAATGTTTGTGATGCTATTTATAACCGTAATCATTTTGTTTCTAAAATTCAGTGTAAAAAATATTGATATCTGTATAACTTTGAGTATACTTTGATATAAAAATAGAACATATATAGGATATATATATAGCTCGGTAGTTGCAAAATGGTAAGTCATTATGCTATAAGATCTCTTTTATGTAAAATGAATAATTCAGATTTTACACAAAAATCTACAGAATAATTAAAATGAAAAATAAAATGTTAAAGGATGTCAATATGAGGAAAATTGAATCATGAATTCAGAATTTCAGATATTTTAGAGACTTAAAAAAAATCCAAAAAAGGAGAGAGAGTCAGCAGATGATGTGAAAATATTTGACATTTGACCTCTTAATACTACTTAACCTTTATTCATTTGTAAGAATGAATCACAGGTTACACTTTATGTGAGAACGGACGGCTAAATCGCATGTAGATCTAAGAAAACAAATCTAAATGTAGCCTCCAGTATGTCCAATATAAGGGATGTCTCAATTTTTCCTACAAAATAGTTCAAATATATGCCATGTTTTATAATGATTTTTTAAAATATAATTTATAACTGGCATTATAATAATTTAATTCTTTTTTTCTGGTCTATTTTAAAAGAGATGAGTTAAAACAAATTTTGCAGGTGTTTTCTACTACCTATAAAGAACTGACATCGCAATAGGATTTCATACTTTATTAAACCGATATTTAAATCGAAAAGATAATTTATCAAGTGTTTCTATATTTAAGTATGTGACGGTGGAATGTACGGAGCAGTCTGTAATCAAACATGTGGTCATTGTCTTGGTAATACACAATGTCATCATGTTAACGGTACATGTCTAGAGGGATGTTCTGACGGATACGAGGGATCTCTTTGTATTAAAAGTGAGAATTTTGAATTTTTAAAAACAAAATATTTAAAAAAAAAAATGAGTAAACTTATAATCCCTGAATCGATTTGGGTTTTACTAAACTTGAAATGGTATTTATATTTCGTCAACTTTTTTAATTTTCTTAATGACCATACGAACAGGAAGAGAACAATTCAAAGAAAGGTTCTTACAAAAAAGAAAAAAATTGAGATATAAAAAAAACCCATCAATTTTTTTAAGGATGTGACGATGGAAAATTTGGCTTAAATTGCAAAAAAATCTGTGGACACTGTCTTGATGGGGCATCTTGCAATCATATAAACGGTACATGTTTAAATGGGTGTTCTCCTGGATATAAGGGATCCATGTGCATGAGTGGTAAGTGAATTCCATCATCTTCAATTATAAACAATTTAACCTCCAAAGCAGATATTTATGTTTCTCTTGTAATTAGAGTGTGGCGTAACTTCAGGGGACGCCTACTCTTCTAGGCACCTTAGACATTCTCTGGAATTTCCAGGAGTCCATGTTTTATAAATTGTTCACAGATTTGTATTGTTTGTAGGTTTTTATTTTCGGTCACTGCTCTATATCGTTAGATGTTTCATGACTTTAAGGTATCGTGCTATATATGAAAAAAATACAGTATATTGTGTAGAAAATGTTCTTTGCTAAATCAAAATTGAAAAAAGATAATATCTGTTACAAATAAAGTCTATGTAGTGGTAAATGTCAGTAAATAATACACTGCGTCACCATATTGACTGATAATACACTGACATTCGGGATTTACTAAAACCTTTTCTTATGTCTCTTTAAAAGAATGTGACGGTGGAGTATTTGGACTGAAATGCAGCCAAAGTTGTGGACAATGTCGAGACGGGTCACAGTGTCATCATATAAACGGTACTTGTTTAGATGGATGTTCTCCTGGATATAGGGGATCCCTCTGTATTAATGGTTAGTGATAGCATTTTTTTTAAATTAACCAATCTTAACAGCAGACATTGCTAAAAGAAACCTGATTGGGGTACTTGAGAGTAAAAAAAAATATTCTTATGTTATATAGTTTTTAGCTCATTTGAGCTGAAAGCTTAATTTATAGCTTTTCTGATCACCTGTTGTCCAGCATCCGTTCGTCTGTCTGTTCCTCCGTCTGTAAACTTCTGATGAAGAACCATTGGGTCAATTTTAACCAAAGATGGTACAAAGCATCCCTGGATAAAAGGGATTCTAAATTGATAAAATGAAAAGCCAATTCCCCCTCCAAGGTATAGATAATCAAGAAAAGGCAAAAATATGGTGGGGTCCTTATAATCTCTTTTCAAGAACCAACAGGGCAGAAAAGCTGGAACTTACCTGGAAGCTTTCTTATGAGATGTAGATTCCAAATTGATCAAATTATGGCCCCAGAGAGTAAGATGGGGCAACAAGAGGGAATAAAAGTTTTACAATGAAATATATAGGAAATAAAATGTTAAAAATCTTCTTTTGAAGAACTATTATGTTAGAAAAGTTGAAACTTATATGAAAGCTTCTTAAGGTAGTGTAGATTCTAAAATGTTCAAATCAAGGCCAAAAGTAATGGGGGGGGGGCACAATAGGGGATCAAAGTTTTACACTGAAATATATAGGAACATCTTTAAAAAAAATTTCAAGAACCATTGGACCAGAAAAGCTGAAAATTGTGTTACAGCTAACTGAGGTAGCCTAGATTGTAAACAGTTCATATATCAGATTATGGTCCCCGGGGGTAGGGTGGGACCACAATAGGGATTATATAGGGAATTTATTTTTAAGTAATTCTTCTCAAGAACATTAAAGCCATGCTGAATCATACGTGAAAGCATCCTCTGGTAGTGTAGATGATTTATTTTTGTTCAAAATCTGCCTCTGTGTAAAGAGTGGGCCACAAAAGGCAATCGAATTTTTACACAGGAGTACATATATATCTGATGCAGAACAGCAAGGGCCAAAGTGACCCAGGTTAAGCCTCTTATTTTTATGAAATATAAAGGAAAAAAAGGTAACAGGCATTTATATCTCATGTTAAATATTGACTTGGATGCGGTAGATCAAATTAGGTAAGAATAAGAATGTGTGGGTGGATTTTTGGTGATAACTATAATGCAAGTTGTATAAACAGAATGATTTTTGTTGTGGTCATGTATTTTCTGGTCATCTCTTAGAGTGTGACAGTGGAATGTATGGTGTTAACTGCAATCTGAGGTGCGGGAACTGTCTTGATAATACACAATGTCATCATATTAATGGTACTTGCTTACAAGGGTGTTCAACTGGATACAAAGGGTATTTTTGTATTGAAGGTAAGAAATGCTCATCGTTACTTTTAACACCATATGGGAAAGTTACAGACTGCACAGAGTCAGAAATATTTTTTAAAAATGAAGACAATGAAACAGACAGTACCATGACTCAAGTTCAATATCCGCCATTTTTACTGCGACATGCATGATAGCATAATAAACTAATCAACTAGAAAGATTTATCTTTGCAACGAAACCAAACACACACACCATTGAAAGTAAATATTTTAAAACCTGCATTTTAATAAAAGAGCATAAAATGAAATAAAATATATGAGTTTCGTCCTTGTCATGTTTAAAATCAATTTAATTTTTATATTAGAATAATGAAAAGTATGATTTGATTACATTTCCATGTAAACCTTAAATCACATTGTCAAAATCGGTCCTGCCTTGAATCTAGTTGACACCATCCGTGGGAGGTGGATTCACATTTTTTAAAGTTTTGATTTTTTTTTCAAATCTGGGTTTGATTATAAGGTACGTATTCAAATTCAAGTTTATTAAAAGTTATATAATGCATTGCATTTAAAGATTATCATTTAATTATACGCGATTTTTGGTGACGCATTTTTAAAGAAAGTTTTAACTGTGCTAAAATGCTTTAAAAGGGTTGCAAATTGATACACCATAAACATGAAGTATAATTTCATTAAAAAAAAGTTTCATTTCACGTTCTTATTCTTTTTCAGTAAACTAAAGTATTATCATTCTATAATAATTTTGACTTCAAGTTTCTGTTCTGTTATTTTGTCTTTACTTAAATTTTAAATAGAACTTTTTTCTCCTTTATTAAGATTGACTGATCATTAACGAAGTTGACATATTTATTATATATGAATTTTGAATTGTTCTTATAATGATTTTGTAATCTCCTTGCGCTTAGCTGAAGGCCATTTTTAGATAAGCAACTAAAGCGAGCAAATCCACACCTTTATTCGTCATAGTATAATTAATCAATCATTTCAAACAATTGAGGAATCTCCATATTCTCAATTCATGCTTGTTTTACTCAATATATGTCTGTACAAGTATGTATGCTAAGATAAAATTTAACACACTGTAAAAAAAAAACATGAATACTGTTTTAAAGAATGTGACAGTGGAAGATTCGGTGATGAATGCAGTCAAAAATGTGGTCATTGTCTTAACGATACAGAGTGCCATCATATTAATGGTACATGTCTAGAAGGGTGTTCAACTGGATACAAAGGATCTCTCTGTATAAATGGTAAGCAACTGCTACCTCAGGTCTTTCCAATCGAAAAGAGCAATTGCATTTCATTTATCGAAGTTTTGCCATTTTTTCTTGAAAAAGTAGAGGAAATTCTCCTGGAGGAGGACACTCTCTTTGTGATGCTTTTCGATATACATGTACATGTATGTACAGTTTTCTGGGACAAGTTTACAAATTTTAGTCATCGTACCTTAAACATGCATATCGGCTATCAAAATTGTATTTTGCGACATTATGTCCATGCATTATATATATATATATATATATATATATATATATATATATATATATATATATATATATATATATATATATATATTCTTCCTTTAAAATATGAATTTGAAATCAAAAGTAATAATATAGGAATAATATTCATGGTTTTTAAATAATTTGAAACTATTCGTGAATTAAGTCGAAAACCTTGTGCAAGAAATGTACATAATTCAATTTTGTGCTACTAATCAAATAGGTTGTTATTGTAACAAAAGGGCAAAAATATAACAACTGCATTTTTGAGCTCTAATATTAAAAAAAACACATTCACTCATTATATGATGTTAAAACAGGTCAAACTGGGGGGGGGGGGGATCTGACATTATGTCTTAAGCCAGTTATTTTCATTGTGACGTCATAAATTAGATATGACGTTAAAAAATTACACAAAGTCAATATTTTACTTATTTTGAAATATAAATAGTGTATTATACGTCGATAATTTTTATATATAAATATTGAGCACTGGTCTGTTCAGGCTCAATTTTTTTGATATATTGTGTAGAATGATAAACATAAAAATGTGAAAATAGTTCCTAAGCAAGTTTGCGCTCAATAACATTAAGTCAAAATTGAACAAAATTAGTGCATTTTTCTCTCTTTTGAAAAATAAAGGGAAAGCTCAATAGTTTGTGACACAAACAGAGACGAAAATGCCAATATTTTCCAAAGTAAATAACATATTCTGTTTATTCAGATATATACATGTATACATATTTATACAAAAGTGCACATTTCAAGAGGCGTTCAGAATTTGATTTTTATGGGGACAAGAATACGCTTTCAGCGTATAAAATTCTTTGTAAATGATACAGATTTTTTTCCCCTGATACATTGTTTTTAGTATTTTTATGTTTTAGAATGTGACGGTGGAATGCATGGTGTTAAGTGCAATCAAAAATGTGGTCATTGCCTTAATGATGCACAATGTCATCATATTAGTGGTGCTTGCTTACAAGGATGTTCACCTGGATACAAGGGAATGTTTTGTACTACAGGTGAAAGATAATTATATTAATAAATCATCGCTTTTGTTATAAATAACTCCAGACGTTATCTCCATGATTACATTAATGTGTCATTAAATATGTTACTTCATTTCTTTTTTTAAAAAGTTCTAAAGTAACATATACAAAGAATGAGTAAAGGGGCTCGGACGTAGATTTGAAGTAAATGTTTTCTAACACTTTGGTATAACATCATGACCAACACGTTGGTGAGCTTTTCGGACCGACATATTAGAAAAGCCTGTTTAGATTCTTCTTTTATCTAAAAATTTTTCAAACTACTAATTTTGGGACGCGTTTGATTGACGCATATCCTGGCACTTTCACGAAGTTAAATTTATCCTTAATTGGTAAGAAAAGTGGTAAATATGTTGTGAATCGATGTAAAATATTAAAACTGTAATCAAGAAAATAAATTCTGAATAGAAATCTGAGAAATCAAAATCAACACACCATTTTTGTCAGTTCGTATTATTAATGTGTTCATAGTTACTGATTTCAACACACCCAGTAAAACGTAAGCGTTAACAAAAACAGAGCCTGTACGAATGTTGACCAACACAGATGCTTGACGTATATTTTGAAGAATGTTGTTGTATTGAATTTTAAGCACTCTTATGTAAGCTCAATACATTAAATTTAGTTAATTTTTTAATAAAATAGAAAAATAAAATGTAAACAAAACAGCAATGCCACTGGATTCAGGTCCCTTTAGAGGCTTATCTCGTAACTTCTTAGGTGCCTTTTTTTACACATGATATCTGCTTTAATAAAAAAATGATATCGAATTCTTATCTCTTATTATTATTATTTTGGTTTTAAAAATTTATATTTTAAATGAGTCAAATTCATTTATTTATAAAGTTATGCAAGTAGTCCTCCAACATTTATAGGAATAACAGTGTAAGATTATGATTGCATCATTACGGACTGTTTTATTCCTTACTCCTCATGTTTACAGCGTAGTTAGAATAGGGATAAAGGGCATCTACAATTTTGGGGTGTTTGGGGAAATAATAATGTCAAAAATTATATCATTAATAAGTTTGTAATAATTTCTGAAATATCTTATCCAACCGACTTCTTTTAGTATTGAAGTTGATATAGCCCATGAATGTGAATGACACATGGTCAAATATTAGTGTCAAATATCGAACTTATTGATATGACCATTAATATGGAATAAAATTTACCCTTTTTTATTTTTATATATTTAATTAAGATACACTGTATATACAGATGTCAGAATTACTTCGTCAAAAATATGACCATTGTGATGCAAAATGTTGGAGTTACATTTTGTATGTGTTTTGATTAAGAATTGGCATAAACATCTCTGTTTTTTGCATTTCACGAAAAGATAAAGAGTAAATATTTTTATATATCTCTGAAAATTGGATAATATATTAGCTCGGGTATTTTAGAGAAGAAAAAGGTCAACAGCTAAGATGAAAAGAAAATTAAATATTTCACGTTTTTTCTCAACTGGAGAAACATATGGACTGATGGATAATTTTATTGATATAATGATAAAACAGGCCATTGTATGACCTTTTTAGTTGTAAAATATTTATTTCTTATCAAAAAGGCTGCAAATTGATGTAGTGGGTCACTCCTTTCTGTACGCTTCATTCATATCATCTTGGAATTAAACCGTTGTGTATTATATTTATATTTTATTAAAAATATTCAAAAAGCATATATTTAACAAATATATATTTATCTTAAGAATGTGACAATGGAAGGTATGGTTTTAACTGTGAACAAAGCTGTGGACATTGTCTGAATAATACACAATGTCACCATATTAACGGGACATGTTTAGCAGGATGTGATGCTGGATATAGAGGACTCCTGTGTACAGAAGGTGAGTATTAACAATTTTCTCATACGCAGGAATGCAGACGCTGTTGTAAATAAGATAACTTTATGTATATTTTAAATATTTAGGATTTCATTATGGCAAATTTGTTTGTCATATTGCTACATTTGTACAAAAGTATTGATTTTAAAAAAAAAGAAGAAAATATATAGCATTGTTCGATTTTACATTCTTGCCAAACATAAAATTAGGAAATTTATAATCTTTATTGCAATTCTTTCCGTAGAATGTGGAGTTGGATTATACGGATATAACTGTGATCAAACTTGCGGCCATTGTATTGATGATACAAACTGTCACCACGTCAACGGTTCCTGTTTAAAGGGGTGTTCCCCTGGATACGAAGGGTCGCTCTGTATTAAAAGTAAGAATATTTACTGTACGTTCTTCAATGAAATTGTATTAAAGTTACATTGTGAGTCAATATCATGTGTTTATTTTAAGATAATTGTATCAAAAAGCTAAAGATTTGTGATAAATATGAATAAGGCGAAGTTTTGAAATCTCGACTGCATGGTATAAGCAAGAAAAGACTGTAAAATGCAAGTGCTGGAAAAAGAAAAGTTGTATTTATGGCGTGGTTGTTATTGTCAATGTCAACAATGTCAAAGTCATGTGTCTTTTATTTTAGGCGTGAAACCTGTAAACAACATTGAATTGGAGCAATCAAAAGTGATGAATAAGTTCTGTTCATCTTTTTTGAAGATTATATCAAAATCCTCGGTCATCCGTCATTTATATATATGGAATTGACACCATGGTAACTTCTTCATCTTTTCTGCGCATGCGTACCTTAAAGAGGCTGAAGTGAAGCAATATTTTCGTACTGGGGCAAACTAAAATTAATTTTACTTATATTTTTCTCCATATAAGTAGATTTTTTAGGTTCTGAAACCTGTAATTTTCTGAAACCTAATACTTTCAAGAATTGAATAAAATTTGAATGTTTCTTGCAAAAATTCTACTTTTGTCAGTTTTCCCGTTTTTTTTGTCACGGTCTCTCTTTAAAGAATACAACACTAAATTAGATACTGAAACATTTTTTGGTTAAAAAATCGTCCTTTTCCTTTCAAACTTTTGGTAAATGAGAACACATATGATATGGTCTATTTTGAAAATTAACTTGAATTACCGTATATACTCGCCTATCAGTCGGTTTTATTTTTTAAGTTTAAATTAGAGGGATTGACCTGCTAAAATACCACTCTTTTTATAACTCGCGCATAAGTCGGATAAAGAGTTTTGGACCAAAGTTTAACTCCCCCACCCCCCAAAAAACGACTTATAGGCGAGTATATACGGTAGTGTCTGGGTTTTTTCTTTTTAAGAATAAAGCTACAGTGTTTTATCCTTATGCACCATGAACTGATTATCGTAATACATATCGTTTTGGAAGGTCCGTTTATCGTTAAAGCTTTAGTCCACTTGTATAAATAATAAAAAAATATTTACAATGACACCTCTTGTAAAATATGCAACTTTCTGATGCAACTTTCTGTTTGGTCGAAATATGATTGACTTTTTCTTAATGAAATCACTTATTGTTTTCATTCTCATTTGTGTAAGAATATTGTTTTGAACTCTAACTGTGGCACTCTTTACCATCCCTGATAATTCTAGTGCCTTATTTTTACCCTGAATGTATATAGTTTTCTTCTGTTATGAACGTGATCAGTGCACATTAATACCCTTTTTGTAGTTTGTGAACGATCATATTGGGGTCTCAACTGCAAACAATCCTGTCGCACAGATTGTGTAAGCAAGACTTGTCATCACGAGTCTGGATCTTGTTTAACTTCCGGTAAGGTAAGTTATCTAACAAATACAAAAATCCTGTGGAATAATGTCTGTCTAAAGAAGAATTGATATTCATTAGTTTGTTAATCAAAGAGAATACTATCTGTAATCACATTGTCTAAGAGTACTTAAAAGTAATTTTCACATTTATAACAAGCATAAAATAAATGAATTTAACTTTAGTTATCTCTTCTAAAGGAAAATTGCATCCGTCTGTTTTATTTGATAATACATGTATTAGCTTTAATTCCTTTGGTGGAGGTCAATTATAATGAAAAGTGGCACATGTTTTAGAAATCTTTAATTTAAACTATAATTAGTGAAATATATTTGCAGATGTCTGAGACGTGTAACAATGATCACACATATATCATTATAAGTGTTGTAGTTTCTCTCTTCATTGTATCCTCTGGGTGTTTTTTAAACTACATTATATGGAAGCGAAATCAATGTAAGTATATGATTTTACCGTGATTTATAAAGTATTTCTAATATGTATGTGATTAATAAAGTATTTCTAATGTTCGTTTTTATTTCCTTTGGGATATAAACATAACGAGTTTTCGAAGTGAACATTGAAAATATTGCAGAAAATATTATTACTGATTATCAAATATGCGAATTTTTTTCACAGATAAAGCTACAAAAGTCAAGAGACTTGGACAAAAAGGTAATTTAAGCAACTTTCAAGTGTCAATATTGCAGGTAAATGTACTCGATAATAAAGCAGAGATAGAGCATGTTCAACTTTATCTCCATACTTTAAGTTAGATTAACAAAAATAAAAGTATTTTACTTCAATTTATTAAATTCAATTCCGCTTCATGCTATGTGCGTAAAATCGTGTAAAAAAATTTAAAAAACGTCTGTTATTCAAAAAATCTGTCAAAAACAAGAGACAATTAAAATAGGTTGATGGTCTAAAACTAATAAATAACAATGGTCAAATCCGTTGCCTGTCTCTATCTTGAAGAGTGTGTCCATTTCAGAATATTCAGAATAGGTCGATTATCTATACCTAATAAATTCTCGTTGTAAAACGTTATATCGAAACGTTGAATGTATTGATTTATTACAGCCCCACTTTGATATGGGTGTTTGAATGAAATTAAAAGTCGTACACCAATCCTAAGGCCAATATTAGAATATATATACAGAGTATTCCAGCATACATATCCCGACTTTGTGCTTTCCCAAAAAAAGTTATCAAAGATTTTTAAAAATAAAAATTTTGCAACAGAGAATATATCCATACAAGTTTATCAATATGAAAGTGAAAAATTCTTAAAACAGGCATTTTTAGAAAATGGACCTAAGAGGCAGTTTTCGATTTAAGGTATGTCACTCGTGAAATTTGTTATATCAAGGATTTTTTGAGAAGTATATTTTGGATAAGTACTCATATAGTATGACTCAAAATTGCGGAGAAAATGGGGGGTCAGTGTGCATCTAACTGAGCTACGGTACAATTAAGTTGACCTTTTTGCACTTAAATTGTAACTCTTTGGTTAATCACTTTATCCGTTATCATATTTTATAAGATGTAACCATGGCAATAAACATAATCTTATTTTACGTAAAATGGTTTGAATAAATAAATATTTATTTTTGAACAAATCATGCAAATTAATGCGCGTAAATTATTGTGTGACCTTTTTGCACTAAAAAAGTCTCATATTTAGGGTATTAAAAATCTAAATAGGCAATAGAATATTTTCTTGTATCAAACTTTTTACGACTTAAGTGCTGATCGGTCAAAAGTATCGAGTAGTTTAAAATAATGAAAGAAAAAGTTGGGGTCAGTGATGTTAATTTTGAAATATTGGTCAAAATATTTGATTTTCAGGCAAAAAACTGTGTAAATTTTATCTCGACTTCCTTAATATATCTTCATTTCTTCGCAATGTTTGATGAATGAAGGTGTAAATTTTGTTATAAAAATATAAATTGAGACGTATATTTAATATTCCAGGCATATCATAACGGAAAATATTCTCTGAGTAAAAGTATGTGAGGCTAAAGTTCCAAGATATTAAATTTAATAAATGTGTAGATTTGCAGAATTTTCTGCTAAATATCCTTCCGCCACAAGAAATAGTCCCTTATAAATCTTCCTTCTTTGTGAATTTTTGAGCAGTTTTTTAATTGAATGTTGAACATTTTACATTGTTTAATTTAAATATGTTATAAAGATTAAATTGTAATAAATAGTTTTTAAGTAAGAGGTTCTGACTGAAATTTTCTAAAAGGCGAACGAGTGACATACCTTAATGTCATTTAGAATGTGTTCCAAACGGCCGCTGGATTTCTCAGTAACATACTAATTTTGTCTCTGAAGTCCTATATTGCTCAAACCTGAAATATCTGTTTCCTAGATCTGGGTACTTCTTTTTAGCTCACCTGAGCCGAAGGCTCAAGTGAGCTTTCCTGATCAAAGAGTATCCGTCTGTCGTCTGTAAACTTTTCACATTTTCGACTTCTTCTCAAGAACCACTGGGCAAACTTGCCACAAAGCATCCTCGGGTGAGGGGATTCAAGTTTGTTCACTGGAAGTGTTGCGCCCTCTTTTAAGTTTGTTCCAATCATGACCCCTGGGGGTAGGGCAGGGCAACAACAGGGGGTAAAGGTTTGCCATAGGAATATATAGGAAATAGTTCTAAAGTCATCTTCTCAAGAAGAGCTAAGCCATTTTTAGTCATATAAATAGAGAAGTATCCTCAGGTAGTGTAAATTGAAGTTTGTTCAAACATGATCCTAAGGGATAAGGCGGGGCCACAACAGTGGGTTAAAATTTTACACAAGAATATATAGGTGTAATGGTGTAAGGGGCATTTGAGTAAAACGCATTGAAGACCTCAAATAATGGAATGAGCTGACAACCGTTGGAATGGACTAGCCAAATCAGAGGGTATATAAGGCAAAGCTTTGGGAAAGTCAGGCATTCAAAAGTAGCAGAAGTAGTTGGATGCTGAATCAGCAATAAAGAAATTAAGGTGTTCCATTCCTAATAGCGACAGATTCAATGAAATTGAATACATAACAGATGTCCAATTGTTTAATATTCAGTATATTTGGACATAATTTCCATTTATTACTATTAGCATGTAAGGATGGGGTGTGTCCTAATTGATGACCTTGAATTTTGGTAAGGGTTATCTCCCTCTGTTCTAATTAATTAAAAAAATCAATTTTGAAAAACTTATCTGGTAAAAAAAAATCGTTTTTAATTGTTATATTTCTAATGTTTTAATGCATCTTTCCACCGCAATCTTTATTAATAATCTTATTATTTGAATTTTTGTTTTAAAAAAATTACTTGTCCCCATAGACTTCAATGCAATCTTTGTTAATTAATTAGTCCCCTACCGGTGAAACCGGAGGGGACTGTAGGTTACCTCTGAGTCTGTCCGTCCGTCTGTCTGTCTGTCCCTCTGTCTGTCTGTCAGTCTGCCCCACTTGGTTTTCCGCACTTGTTTTCTTAAACGCTTGCAGATATTGAGCTGATTTTTGGTATGTAAGTGTATCTTGCTGAGTTACAGATCAACTTTGCATTTCGTTCCGCTTCATTGACTTTTGACGGAATTACGAACTTTTCAATTTTTAAGGGTTTTCCGCAATTCTTTTTTTCTTAACGTTTGCAGACATTGAGCTGATTTTCGGTATGTGACTTTGCCTTGATTAGTCATAGATTACGTTTGCATTTCGTTCCATTTCAATGATTTTTGACGGAATTATGGCATTTTCAATTTTTAACGGGAACCAGATTACACTTGCCGGTAGGGGACTAGTATTGCTAATGCAATACTCTCAGAATGCTTGTTACTGCTTAGTTAATTACATTTTTGAAACTTTCTCTTGATAAATCCTTTTCTACTGTGAAATGCTTTTACATGGTAAATATCTTTAAAATCTTCTTCTCAAGAACAACTGAGACATGGTTAGTCATATTTATACCGAAGCAACCTTAGATATTGTAGAATCAAGTTCTGCTCAAGAACGGCAAGGCCATGATAAGTCATATTATTATAGAAGCATCCTCAGGTAGGTAGATTCAAATATGTTCAAATTTAGGGTGGGTATGGTGGGGCAACAATGAGAGATCAGAGTTTTACGTAGGATTGATTGACTGTATGTTGTTTTACGTCCCGTTCAAGAATTTTTCACTCATATAGACACTTCACCATATACCGGTGAAGGGTTTCAAATTTAAACCTTTACTCGGCACTCAGGGCCATTGTGCAGTGAGGGATCTTTATGGTGCCTACGCCTGCCATGACCCCTTCAATACTGAACTGATTCCTGCTTCTCCCTAGCCAATGAACTCAGGTGAGCGATGTGGCCCATGGGCCTCTTGTTTAAAAATGATATTTACTAGTATTGGCGATTTTCAGTTTGCATAGTACATTTTAACAATATCCATACAGAGATTTCTTTTACCATCCATTTAAAAACATGTTATCAGAACTTTGAAATAACAATTATGACGCTTAGTATATTGCTTTTATATTATAATATATATTGCTGGAGAACATATTTTTATAAAATACAGTTGTTTTTTGTAAGTACTTTATCAAAGTGCAGAAATGTAGACATCCAAAGATAGGACGTTTGATGAAACACCCTTTATGAGCTTAATGAAATTGCACATTTATGAAATTCAGCAGGAATGATACACTAGATGACCTTGATCTGTGTTCATAAATAATTGTAAGTACTTGGAAATATTGTGATTTGAATGTCCCTTCGTTTGTTTAGTTAAATAAAGAAAAAATTAGCTTAAGATTCCGGACCTTTGAAGGGAGGGGGTGGCTTAAGGACGACTTAATATTAGCTAAGGGAATCACATATGCCTCTGTACCTACAAAACATCTCAAACACTTTTAAATTCTAATAATTCAACTCCCCAGAGAATTGTCTAATATAGCATAATGTGCTTTGTGTAAGAAAATAGAGACACCATCCTCTGAGGAATTTTGTCGCGTTTCAACCTTTTCCCATGATCTACGCATGATTTCACAGGGTAGCGATTTTATAATGCCATAAATCATAGGACAGTAATTTGAAAATATTTATATCCATATAAGTATTGACACTGTCCATTTTCTCTGTATGCTACCTCCAATATGAATAATAAAGTTTTTTCCCTTAATCCAATTGATCAAAGGCCACTGTTGAAAAGTTCCAATCGCTTGAACACCTTTTGATTCTTCCTACTTGGCTGTTTTCATTTAAGAAGGATAGAAAATACAATATTCAAGACGTAGAAGATAACATTTTACTCTTTTGATTTTCAGATCAACTCAACGAGGGAACTAAGTATGTATTTAAACATTGACCGATGACTTTAGCAATTCAAAAAATAAAATTAGAAAAGTACTCAAATATTTGCATACCAATATTTCAATTTATTTTTTATTGTAACAGGGTCACTTCCCCTTATGCAGAACTAGGGGACATCGACAAAAATGCTACTTATGACGAACTTCACCTCTACGCAAACCGTGAAGAGAAAATATAATTTCTTTGTATTTGTAAAAAAATGTCTATCGAAAGATGCAAGTTTTCATGTCTTCTTTCCCTGATTGATGACGATTGATGTTTTGTGGTGACATCTGGTTTGATGTTTGAACTGTATAAAATTTATTCTCCTTCATCCTACAACTATAGTCCTGCTGAACGTCAATGCTGGTGACGTAAATATAGTTAATAATGAGGACCTTTCAACTGGCGTCGTTATTTATGTTCCCCAAACGAAGTTTGGGAACATATTGTTTTTACTCTGTTTCTTATTATTATTATTATTAAGGTCTTCCGTCTCCACGGAAGACCTTATAGTGATTCTATTGTTTCTTATTATTATTATTCTTTTTTTTTAGACAAAATTTTGTGCACGCGATTTCCCGAAAACTATTCAGTGAATTTGTTTGAAATTTTCAGGGATAAAAGGTCTCTGTATGAATTTTATATAAAATTCCGTTTTTTGGTAAATTCGGTTCCAGTGCCAAGTTATGGGCAATTTCCTGATTTTAAAATGGAATTTTGTCCGTGAGTGTTCTCAAGAATGGCTAAAGATATGAACTGGAGAGTTGTTAGAGATGATAGAACATGATTTCTTGATTGGAGAGGGCACCTTTTCGTTCGTCGTCGGCACTTCCGGTCGCTTTCGGAAGTGATCAAAGCAATCGTAAAATTTCAACTTTCCTTTTTTAAATCAATACTTACATCACATTATTGTATCTCTTTTGTAGTTTCGAAATATGTTGGTCCCACCGGAAACAAAAACGTCAACTTCCGGTTATAAGAGAAAAACGACATAATTTGTGTATTTTTCTTTCCCATTAATATCTTTTGTAGATAAAGTATTTGGAATGAATTTTAAATATGTTATTCAGACAGCAAATGTCTAGAGTAATGTCAAATACCTTTGTAAAATTCACTTCCGGTCGCGTGTTTTTCTGTCCTCAAACTGAGAAGTTGTCTGAGCAAGATCTCGGAAACGGTAAGAGATTAAGACACCAGACTTATATGAGCAACAGACCTTAAGATGTAGACAAAACCATTTGTTCAAAGCGTCAGCTGTCACTTCCGGTCGTCACAGGAAGTGATCAAAGAAATAAAAAATTTCAACTTTTCTTTTTTTAATTAAAAATTGCATCACTTTATTGCATCTTTTTCGCAGATTCGAAAGATGTTGGTCCCACCGGAAACAAAAACGACAACTTCCGGTTATAAGAGATAAAACTAAATAATTTGAATATTTTACTTTCCAATAAATATTCTTCATAGATAAAGTATTTGAAATGAATTTTAGGTATGTTATTCAGACTACATATGTCTAGAGTAACCTCAAATATCTTTCAAAAATTCACTTCCGGTTGCGTTTTTTTCTGTCCTCAAAATGAGAAATTGTATGAGCGAAATCTCAAAACAGGTAAAAGATTAAAACACCAAATTTTTATGAGTAACAGACCTTGAGGAGTAGGCAAAACCATTTCGGTTAAACGCGTCAGTCGTAACTTCCGGTTGTCACAGGAAGTGATCAAAGAAATAAAAAAAATAATATTTCTTATTTAAATTAAAGTTTGCATCACTTTACTGCATCTCTTTCGCTGTTTTGAAATATGTTAGATTCCACCGGAAACAAAAACGTCAACTTCCCGTTTTAGGTGATAAACTACGTTTTTTTCGATATTTAACTTTCTCATTAATATTGAATATCTATAGTACTTGGAAGTTTTTATGCATTTTGTAGATACTGCAAATGTCTAGAGAAACGTCAGAGATTTTTTTTTTTTTTATAAAATTCACTTCCGGTCGCTTGTTTACCTGTCCTCAAAATTAGAATTTGTTCTCACAATATTGTTCGGCAACAGTTAACGACTGAAGTCTAAAACTTTCAGGACTGATAGTCAGTCATCAGTTTATTTGAATCGCCGTTACTTCCGGTCGTGACAGGAAGTGATGTAAAAAAGTGAATGATTAATGGTTAGCGCGTTGGATTTTCACGCTGATGACCAGGGTTAAATCTCCAGAGTGTCTGAATTTCTTTTATCACCTTTTAAGCTTGAATTAACGTTTTTATTTTCAAAATCGGACGGAAGACCTCTCATTGCTCGCAATGAGTTTCTAGTTATTATTATTATTCTTTTTTTCTACTTTCTTCTCCGGTACTTTTTTGTCCGCGAGTGTTCTCATAGAACCACTCATCCGATTGACATGAAACCTTTTTAGGGTTAATAGGCATGTTGTGTAGGTGTTCGGAACGAAGGTCATTTTGCGCGCACATGCATGCACGTGCGCGCGCATGCAATGAGTGAAATGACTGATATACTTGATGAAGCCGTAACTTTGATATTTCTTGATGAATTGCTTTGAAACTCAAAATATAAAGATACATTAGTAGTCTAGACAAGATAACATGGTCAAATTAGCGTGAACTCACGCGCATGCACGTGCGCTCTTCTCTGATTGGCTGATACAAAAATATCAATAATTTCCTTCTTTTTTGACAAAATACTTTGAAATTTAGAATATAAGTATATATTATAAGGTGCTACAACATGTTATATAGGAAATTTCTTGAGAACACGCGCATGCAGGTGTGCTGCAATCTGATTGGTTGAAACTTTAAATGTCTATAACTCCCTTGGTTTTCAACAAAACAGGATAAAATTTATGACATGGATAGGCACATAGAGCTCCTACATTATAATACTATCAAAATTGAATGCAAGGACCTGCATGTGCGTATGCTGAATTCTGATTGGCTAATACTTAAAGGGTTACATCTCTCTTATTTTTCAATGAAATTCTTTAATATTTAACACAACTGTATGTATTGTGAGACACTATAAGAAAATTAAAGTGAAAAATGTAGAAAACATGTGCAAGCACATGCGCTGAAATTTGATTGGCTAATACCCATATGGCTATATCGGAGTAGTTTTCCAATGAAATACCCTTAAAAATAAAGTGTCCATCTATATTACAAAAGTATTGTCTAATTTATTGAAGCTTGTAGAAAATGGGGCATCATAAGGGATTTGGGGGCCGTTTGGGGAACATCTGTAACGGTTCCCGTTACAATTAGCACTAGTTCATAAATGTTATGAATTCTGTGAAAGAATACGCCAGGCGATAGAACCTTTTGATATGTCATTTTATTTTTTTTTTGGTCATTTGATTTTTCATCTCTGTACACTAGCATTGATACTTCAAGTGTAATATCAGCTTTCAAGTTTGTATAATAACGTCTATACATCGATCAACATACTATAAACTTTATGATCGGACTTTTCCATTACATTAAAAAAAATATGCCTTTTTGATGTAGGCTTTGAAATATTATACCTACAAAAGCAAGGACTTGCAATGGGTTCTTACGACTCTGCTGATATAGCAAATTTAGTATTATTTGCTTTAGAAATTAGGTTTTCCCAATTTTCAAAGGTCAGCCAAAGAGTCGCTTTAATGGCTAGATATATTATTCTACATAGTAGCATTAACAAACTTATGTTTGACCTACATGAAGAAAAATCCTACTATCCTACAGAACTGGATATTACCTTTTCTGTTAATAAACTACACAACCAATTTTTGGACATGACCTACGGTATAGGTTTTAGTACCTTCTTAGACAATAAAGTGTATACTAGCATTTATCAAAATCTTGTAATGCTTATAGTTACACCCGTTCTTCATCTGGTTACCCTAGTCACATTTTTAAAGGTATCATAAAAACTGAATGTCATAGATACCTCCATAGAAGTTATTGAATACTACACCATGTGCAAAATGGTTACCATTAGACTCGTGAGATGTGGCTTAACTTTTTTAATGAATCCTAAAAAGTTCACAAGTATTAGCTTTCTTAAAAAGCTTGTCTGACGTAAGCAAATTTATTATTACGTGATGAATCAAGAAAAGTTAAATTCAGTGTAATCAACATGACTCTAAGTCCAGAAATGAATTCTTTTGCTAAGAAACAAGAAAAGTTCAATTCAGTGGCATCAACATAAAATAAAACTTGGACATGAATTTATTATATATACACTACATTATTTGCAATCTCCTTTTAGGAACGGGGGGGGGGGTGTCCCCCGCCCCCAATAATATTGCCGATTTATTCATAGCTACTTTATGCTTGTGTCCCCTAAATCATGTAAAACATGCAAATAATAACGACTGAAAACTTTTTTATGGAAGAAATTTTTCCTTGATAATGCTCATCCTAAACTGAAAATTTTTGGTTGTGCACCCCCTCCCCTTGAATTTTTTTTCCAACGGACCTGTTTATGGATACATAGATAAAACCGGTGCTTTTGAAAGAAAAAAGTTACAACACATAAAAATCTAAACATCAATTTGTGAACAGTTTCGATAATTATGAAAAAATAAAAGTGTTATAAATGTTCAACATCTATAGACGAGTCTTAAAATTATCTAATAAATATTCATGACGTATGCGAAAACGAGGCTAAACTAGGCAAGCTGCAATGGCGGCCTCCAGTAGCAGTGTAAACAACGTGCGAGATTTAACAATATTGCCGCACATTACATTTGCTTACGTCGAAAAATATATTAAATCTGCATCAGTTTCATCTGGATCTCAACAAATGTCCAAAGGATTCAAATACTACTCGGAACAATACGTGCATTCTATGCGTGGTAAGTTCAACAGTTCAATATATACTCCGAAGGCGAAGTTTTGTGAACAGTAAAATCATTGCCCTGAAATTACATTTATCTTTAACATTTTAATGATAATAAGTGCCCCTTATAAACAAATATATATATATATATATGTGTTCACTAATA